AAGTTGGGGATCTAGGGATCGAACCCTGGGTCCTACATCAGCTACTTCGAACTGGTGAATACCGTTTCACCTTTGCCATAGGAATTCAGCTGCTAAGAATGTCTGTACTGGAATTGTTAAAGCTTCAAAACTTTTGAGTGCCTCACTGTTAGGACCTCGAGGTTTGATTTTCATGCTGAAATGCTGTGCAATCTCCGGCTGTCGCTGTGCTGTAGGTCAGAATGGCCATGACAGAGTCAATCGTCCGAGAAGTGGCCAAGCTGGGAGACCAGGATCTCACAATGTTTGGGCTGTCAGAGGACCCACGGTCCAATCAGATGTTCCTATTGCGTGGCTCTGGTCCTAAAGGGGTTCGAAGGGGTAATGGTACCAATGTTCAAGGAGGGGCACGAGTACCAACAACAGCTAAAGGGGCTCCATTGCCAGTTCAAGGAGCAGGTCCCAAAGGTATTGGTGGAGGAACAGGTGTTGAGGAAGTGAGCAACAGCCAAGGGGGTGTCACTGATGATCAGGCGGACGAGGAGCATGCATGGAGAGCAGAACTGGAAAGGCTGAGAGGTGTGAAATTGTTGTTTCTGACCCTTGCGAGGAATTTCAAAGTCAGTTTGAACAGCCTTGCGGAGGCCATTGCGGAGAAGGATAAGTTTAAGTCCAAGTTACAAGGCCTTGTTAAGGATATAAGTGGAGTCAGCCTCGAGGATCTTGATCAGTTGCAGACGAGCGATGATGGGGAAGATGATGCCGAAGAGGAGGCACAGCGGCCCAATGATAGTGCGGTGATGGCATCGAGTGAAGGGGCTGCTACAAAAAGAAAAAGGGGTCCTAAGAGAAAAACAGCACTAACAGTTGAGGAAATTGCTTGGGTCATCAAGGGCTTGCGGAATGACAACAAGAAGCTTCAGGCAAAGGTTGAGAAGCTGCAGGTAGGAAAACTAACTTTGGCAAACTAAGCGGGCCTTGCTCAGTTGGTACACCCAATGAACTGCTGATATATAGACCCAAGTTCAAATCCTGTGACAATCAGTTGAACAGAATACAGTAACTCTGAATTACCTGGGGCCAGTCAGTTCAATGCTGATATCTCCAGGCCGTCGCCCTTTTTTTTTTTTTTTTTTTTCAAAAGACAAAACAGAAAGGGGGGGGAACGGGGTCCAGGATGCACTACTGCATTACGGGGAACTTCTGGGCGGTGTCCAAGCAAGGCAAAGTGGCGCACGGTATTCACGTCCTATGGTTGACGATCCAAGAAAGAGTGCCATAGCCCGACCTCTTTCCGGAGTGGGGGAGGGAGCGCCTTTGTGCTCCGGGACTATGGCATCTTGGCAGCCCTGAACACCCCTACGCGGACCTACTCATTTAATTTGACACTCAAATATCCTTTGACTATTATTCCAGTACTAATCCCAGCCGCCAGGGCGGTGTGGATTCTTGGAACTCTACGAAGCCCCAACTTACTGATGTACGAGACGAAGCGGGAGAAGGAAAGGAGGTGGAGCAGACGGAGGTCGGGGAGGAGCCGTGGAGTGGAAGAAGTGGAAATTGGAAAGGTAACCTACGGGAGGGTATTGCTGGAGGGTTGGAAAAACTTGGTTGAAGGTTGAGATAGGGACTCGATTGGGAGTCAAAGGCAGGCGAAACTTCCCGACATCGCTCAACTGAGATAGGGTTTAATGGCTGCGTCAGGGAGAAACGCGAGGATAGCGGAAGGGGGATAGCCGACGACGGACTCAGGGACGCTGGACCCGGTTTCCAGCAGGTGCAGCGCCCACTAATAGATCGGAGCAGCCTTGGGCAGCTACTAGAGAGGGGGGGGGGCGCTTGTATCACCCCCCGTAGCAGCGAGCAGCAGGCTATTTAAAAAGAAAAAAGAAAAGGGGCAATTTCCACAATTATGGCTTTTCGCAAGTCATTTCATTTTCTGGGCCCTGCAAAGTTGGTAAAGATGACAATCGATCTTCATTTCTGATGCCGATAACGAAATCAGAACGTACTGATATAACTTTCAGGAAGTCTGCAAAACTCTTTCCATTTTCATGTCCTTCCCCGTCTCAGAGAATGGTTGTCCAAATATCATGGAATAGGACACAGTTTGAACTCTCAACATGTGAATCAAGGAATAGACTTCCAGGTTGACTCTAGGTACTCCTTACCATATTCCATGTATCTTTTTTATCACTTCTGAAGCTCTCACATTCTTAGTTGTACTCCCCCAATGCAGGTAAGACTGGAGTCTTCTGAAGTGCAGCGGCGAAGAGCACAAGCTGCTATAATGACTCTGGAGAAAGAGCTGAGTGACCCTCTGTGGTCAACTGATGGACAAGGCAAGTCAGAAGAAGGGCCATTTTCGATTGCAGATAGTATGAGTCCATCTCGTCTGGTTGAGCGCCAACTTAAAGAGCTGGGAAGATCAACCAGTGTAAAGGAACCCGTGATTGGTGATGTGGCTCCGGTTGATGAGCCAGACAGTGAACAGTATGTGAGGTACAACGCAGAGCAGCTCCAGAGCCGGTTCACCTGGATTCTCACGAGACTAAGGGAGCAACGCGTTTTTCAAAAAGAGAGAGTGGCTGAATTAGAGGTTTGACCACCCTGCCATAGTGTGGTTGCTATTGCAGTGCCCTTGGCTTTCAGTCAGCAGGAGAACGCTTATGCTTTGGTTGGTTGGTTGGTTGGTTGGTTGGTTGGTTGGTTGGTTGGTTGGTTGTGGGGGTGGGTGCGTGTTTGTTTGTGGGGGTGGGTGCGTGTTTTGTTGAGCCAAAAAAAACAAGAAATTGTAGAGGTTGGGGGGGTTAACATATTTGAATATTTCGGAACCCCCCCCCGCCCTGCCATATTTATCATACACACAAGCGGACGCCGTGCGGAAAATTCCACAGGTTTGGCGCAAGAGTGGACCCGCAGGGTGCGGCGCATGGGGGAAATATTCGCTCAAAAGGAAAGGGGTCGCATGGCTGGGTTAATGGTCACCCGCATCCCCTTTAAAGATTTGTTGTCGGATGGAAAACAAAAGCAAAAACTAGGGGGAGGGTAATGCCACTACCTAAAGGTCAAGACTCATGTCCCAGACACTTTTTTGAGGCTATTTCTCATGCACAATTGGACACAGAGAAAAATCTCTACAACTATACTTGAAAAATATCAGTTCCTCAGGTGTTGCACTCTTCTGTATCCACAAAAACAGCAAAACAAAAACAAAAAAAAAGGAAACTGCCTCTAGTCCGGTGCACAAGCAGGTGCTGTGGCGCACGGTGCGGTTGCAAGTATGATATTGATTGATTGATTGATTGATTGATTGATTGATTGATTGATTGGTTGGGGTGGGGTCGCCCCCCCCGCGAGCCATCCCCTCCAACCAACCAATCAATCAATCAATCTGTCAATAAATGTCCTGTTTTGTTTTTTTAAACGTGGCCTAATTCTTAGCCCTGCTTTGCAGCATGGGCTGTCTTGTCAATGAAGTAATGTCTGTGTGTGGCCACTAGTTTTTTCTAGGGTGGGATTTTGGGGTTTTGGCCACAATATCTTCACGAGGAGGCTCGGAGAGTGTTTTCTGTGGGTGTCATTCCTGTGGGATGCTCTTTCGGAGCACATGGAAGAATGGTGTTTTAAGCAGTAGCGCTCCTGGTGTCGTGAGGAGATCTTGTGGAATTTGGCATAGTACTCGCAGTGCCCTCACTGTATCACTAGGACATCATCTGCAGGTTGTGCGGCAGGGGGAGGTTCATGGCACTCTTGGTGTTGCGTACAGGTCCTGCGGTGTATTTTTGGTGGCGTTGTAGGCCATCGCCGAGGTTTTTAAGACCATTGGCATGTGTGGTCGGTGCCTTTTTTGTTAGTGGAGCCTTTTGTGTTATGCTGTTGGGTTTGTTCAATTAAGTTTGTGGTTTTGTGGGCCGACACGGAGGGCTCTCCAAGTTGCTTCGGACCTATGGCGGATGGGGTCGGTGCTTTCTTGCTGGAGGAGTCCTCTGTCCTAGGCAAGTTGCCTATTGCCCTCCACCCTTTTATGGATTATGAGATAAATATGTGCAAGTGTGCCGCTTCAGCGGCAGACGGTTGTGTGGGCACTTGGCGTTGAACCGCACAAATGTGGCCCACCTTGCATTTTCTATTTTATTGTCCATCTATACTTGTAACTTTTCATTCTTTTTTTTTTTTTTAACAGGTCCTTATGGCCCTGGCTCCATATCCATTCTGGGGAGCGTCAGTCCGGTTCCTATTCCCCCGGCAAGTCAAAAGAATATATAGTTTTACCCACTCAACGCTTCCTTCCGTTTGGCCGAAGGAACCCTGACCAGCATTGATTACTCCTTCTAAGGAGGATTGACTGTCAGCTTGCCCTGACCACTTGTTCCTCTCAGGCTTCTATTCAGAACCTGTCGAATGAGTCCCTGCAATGCGAGAAGAGTGGGGGGGTCCGCTCAGTGTTCTATTGCTTGTCTTTGTCCTTCATTGTGAGTCCGGTTTGCCATGTTGCTGATCCTCCTTCGGAGTCTTCTTGGCCTTCTGCCAGGGCACCTGGCAGGAGACCGTGCCCTGGCAGGAGACCTTATAGACTTCATGATTGTGCCTGGTGCCAATTCTTCCATCTCAACCTGTTGTCAACTATTGTCGCCACCTTGCCCTTTAGCAGCCAGTTCCTCATGAAGGTCTGTTTCTTGGAGTTGACTATTCTCTGCCATCTGCTTCTGATTTCCGTCTCTGCCATGCTTAGGAGTAATGACCACATTTCTTCCCTAGCTACCCGTGCACCCTCGATTGTCTGCGTGCATCTGCGTTTCCATATCATTCACAATGCCAACTTCCTGAGCAGGGTGAACCATGCTTCCCTGCTGCCTGTGATGTTGCTGAGGATGTTAGTTAGGATTAGGATAGAGAGAGGGGGAATGTGAGGGGGCAGTGAAGCGGACAGGATTGACCACAGCTCGCGGACCTTCTTCCATACCATGTTGCTTCTGGGCAGAAGAGGAGGCAGTGTGGGATGTCTTCGGGAAAGTTGTTGCTGCACATTGAGCAGCAGTCCGCGCTATCAGGGTCGGAATGTTTCCTTCTAGTATGTAGCCATTTGTTGACGGGAAGGGCTGCATGTGCTAATAGCCATTGGAAGCTGCGGATTCTGATTGGTCTGATGAGAAGGTATTTGGTCCATGGGATAGTGATGGGGATCGTGTCATCTAGGTTCAGTATGCCTCTCCATTTCTCTGTCAGCCTTGGATTTGGGTCCCTGGTTTGTAGTCCGAGGTTATACTCGAACTTTACGTCGTATTCTGTTATCGTTCTCGACTTTTCGGTGGTACCCACGTCCCACATCCATTCTTTTGGGTCGAATTCCAGCTCCTTAATGCTGAGTTCCAGCTGGAAGGTGATCCAGGGTTTCCTGTGAGAGACACTAACCTTCCTAAGAAGGTAGGTTTCTATTTGTTTGTTCTGTGGTGTTCTGTTTAGGACCTCTAGTTTGTATATGCTGTGTTTGATCATGGGGTGGGATATGAACTTGGCCTGGTAGTTAGTCGGGTCCGGTTTGGTCACAAAGCGGTAGGCTCTTGTTGGTGGGGTCTGTGTGGTGAGCAGTCCCCAGTCTCCAGGTTTGCACGTGTGTGGTTCTTTAAGGAGGGTCGTCCATGGGGGAGGAATGCTTTGAAGGATTTCTGACGGGTTGGTGTTCAGTAGGTGGCACCCTTTTAAGGATGTGCGGAGGTCCTGTTCGGTTAACCATTCTTGTCGGTCCTCAGGCCACAAATGTTTGACCTTCCATACTCCTCTCTCCGCCCAAAACAACCGTCTGTGGTCTTTAGCCGGAGAGTCCATGGTCTGCCCTCTGTGTCTTTAATCCAAGGATTGCAGATCAGGTGTTGTCTTAAGACTTCCTTTTTGTTGCTCGGGGACCGGCGGCGCCAAGCCTTCAGGATCGGTGACCAGTAGGGGATGGGCGTAGTGGGGTTGGTTCTCCTAGCAGGCCTTCCGGATTTGATTGTCCATTCCTTTGCCATGATCCAGAACAGGCCACTCATGTTCGGTGGGGACGCTACTGGTGCCAAATTCCTTATGCTGTCCGCCGCCATCTTGGTCCACGAGAGGGCTTGTTTGGTTAGGATTTTGATTATCCATTTTATTTGGAGGGCGATCGCTTCCTTTTTAGGGTCGATTATACCTAGCCCGCCTTCGTGTGGTTTCCTGATGACAATTTACCAGGCCACCTTGTTTATGCAGGTGGTTCTGTTGGGATCGCCAGTCCACAGGTAACACCTGGCCCCAACCTTCAGCTTCTTCAGGTCGCCATCGGGAGGGCACCATATGGAGGCCATGTTGGAGAATATTGCTGTGTTGATGATGAGAGCTCTCCCTAGCAGGGAGGCCTGGGCTTTGTTGCAGGTGGTAAGACGGGTTATTGCTCTGGCAATCAAAGCCTCCCCCATACCTTGCCAGATGCCATCTTTGTTTACCATAATGCCTAGGTATTGGAGTGCTTGATCGCCTGTGCTCCATGACATTGGGGTGGATGAGTCTGGAGGTTGGGGGGGGGTGCCTTCCGCTAGCCACCATCCTTCCGTTTTTGACCAGTTTACCTTCATTTATGAGGCGAGTATGAAGGCTTCCATAGCGCGGGTCAGGGCCTGGAAGGAGGAATTACTAGCGTGAATGAGGACCGTGAGATCATCTACGAACATCTGTGCAGTGGGGAGAATGAAGTTGTGGAGGGGGTTGTGGTTTTGTTCAGCCATGCGGTCTATGGATGGATCCTTGCAGAGGAAAGATGCAATGGCTTCCATTATGAACATGAATATTGGGGGTGCAAGGGGGTCACCTTGACGGACTGATCTCAATATCGGATAGGTTTCTGACGGCATTTTGTTTATCTGCACCCTGCCCGTGACATCCCTATAGAGCACTCTCACCCACTCTCTGAAGTTTGGGCCGACTCCCATCTTCTCCATACAACTGTGTAGGAAGTCCCAATTGACTTGATTGTAGGCCCTTTCGAAATCGAAGAATAGGATCGCCACTTGCATCCGTTTTTCTGTGATCTTCTTTGCAGCCTCATTTAGAGCCATCACATTATCCAGAATATATCAACCCGGAATGAATCCTGCTTGGTCAATATGAAAGCATTTGTCTGGTAGTTTTATGATTCTGGTTGCTAGAGGCTTTGCTAGGATTTTGTAGGGCGTTGTGAAAAGTGAGATTGGTCTGTAGTTCTTCAGGTCCTCCTTGTCGCCTTTCTTGTAAATTAGTGAGACAACGCTGGTGCTTACAGATTGACCCAGGCCTGTTTTTTCCCTGCTGTCATTAATAAAGTTCAGGAGGTCATTTCCCAGTATGGGTCAGAACTGGATCCATAATTCTTTGGACAGACCATCGATTCCTGGTGCTTTGTCATTTCCCATCTGGGACAAGGCTGCGTGTAGTTCCCCTAGGGTGATTGGTTTGTCCAGGTCCTACGTTTGCTGCTGGGCGATCGTTCTCTCTAGGTAGTTCATCATGTGCTGACGGGCGTTGATGTTCGCTAACTGGGGGGGGAAGGTAGTTTTGGACTCGTAGAGGTCAGCGTCGAAAGATCTGGCTATTCTTACCATGTCT